TAGTATATACATATATAGTTTACAAGAAATTGCCTTAGATAAAAAAAATTAAAAAAAATAGCCCGGAATGAAAAAGCCTGTTTAGGCCCGTGGGCCCTGACCATTTAGCTCGAGACCATGTGGACTTAGGACCGCAGTGGGCCGATTCCACTCATTTGGTCCGGACCACAATACAGCCTTAAGTAGGGGTATCAAATGGGTGGGCTGACCCAATTTTGGATGGGTCAAAATGGGCTGAGTTTTCTAAGTGACTTTGTAGTGAGTAGGGGTGTCAAATTGTGGGTTGGCCTATTTTGGGCTGATCAAAATAGGTGGGTCATTAATTTGCTCTAAAGTTGCTTGGGCTGAGATAAGCTGAGTCAAAATGAGCTAAATTTTGGGTCATAGCCCAATCTGCCAAATTCTTACTGAGCTTTAATTAATATGTGTTATCTTCTATGAATTGTATAATTACAAAATTAAGACTTTTATTTTTCTTTTGTTATGGACATATATAACATATCAAACAAAAAAAAATTATTTCTAAAATATTTTGGCAAAGTTATTCATTGATCAAATTGGGCTAAGAATCAGTAAGATGGATTGAGTCAAGATGAGCTGAGTTTAATAAATTGACGGATCATATCAATAACCATCCCAACCTTAGGCGGGTCAATAACCATTCCAACCTTGGACGGGTTGGACAGATCATTTAGTCTTGGACCAAATTTGACAGCCCTAATAGTGAGTGACAGTACATAGAAGTTTAACTATTTCACTAAAATATATATAGTATAGAAGTGACAAACCTGCAAACAACCAAGAACAAGAATGAAGATGCCAATGCCTTTGTGTCTATTGACATTGTTCTGCAGACGATTATTGAGAACGAGCCCACTGATAACACCAGCAAATCCGAGGATGAACCCTAATGATTGAATGGTGGTGTGAGCATAAAACCAGATTGGATCATATTGTCTCAAGTATCTTGCTACCATGACTCCAATTGGCATGAAAATAGCCCAGCCAAACATGTTTAAAAGTCCATGGCTTCTTCTCAGATTTGCATAAGGTGTACTTTTTTCACTTTGACCTGTTTTGCAACAGCACAAGCAGAGGCGAATTCAGAATTTGAAACTTATAGGTTCCTAAGTAAATTTACAATAATAATTGGTTTATGTCAAGTATTTATAAATATTTAGTGAAAATTTTAACACAAATACATTTTGGTAAAAGTTACTAGGTTCACGTGAACCTGCATTTCGTACGGTAGATCCGCCCCTGAGCACAAGCACACAAAATGTCAAGAACACCTTCAATTGACATACTTTAGACGATTTTATTAATATCTGAAATTAGTAAAAAACATAAAGTAATAGATCTAGCGGGTGAAAATGACAGGAGAACAAGGTGCAAAACTCAATAGAGACGAAAACGCTAGGTAATTTCTTCTTATTTGTGTAAAATTTGGTTGACGGAGTTAATTACCTGATACTTGTGTTGGTTTGAGGTAGCAAGTACCTAATAGAATATATAGTCGAAGTACAAACAAATTGATAGGAACATCATCGCGTATCATTTATATCTTAACCTAGTATCAAATGCACTATATAGGCGGAATTCAACCTAAGATATTGTTATTTATACCTAAGCAGGGCCTAGCATTTTCTTGTTTTGGTATCAATAAGAACATTGCGTCTGTTATGGAAATCATGTGAACTTTGGACACTTAAAACAAGTTGGATTACTGCTACATAATGTATTGTGGGTAGTACGGATTTTTCTTCTTTCCAAATTAAGATTTGCTTTGTCTTAAAGAAATTAAAATACAAATTTAGTTTAGTAGTGAGATCTCAACTAATTTTTTGGTTTCAAGAAATACTTGATTGAATGATATTATGTAAATTGCAAGCGTTGGCAAATACATATAAAAGCAATTAGCCATTTATTACCATTTTTCTTAAGAAAACTTAACGAACATCATTGGCCTGACTTTCCAATTCAATGGCGTAAAAACTACTAAAAGCTACGTATGTTTAGTTTAATAGTACTTTATTTATATTTTATAGTATAAAGTAGTTGATACATTCGTTGGTGCGTAGCGACTATCTTCTTACTCTTTGATAATATTATGGTTGCCTTCATTAGAAGCTGCCAGACGTGGAACCCACCCGCCATTACGTTGGATATAGTCTAGGGCTGTGCGCGGATCAGATCGGATTTAGCACATTTCGGATTCGGATTTCGGATTTCGGATTCTAGAAAATGCAATTTGAATCCGATCCGAATTATATCGGATCAGATCGGATTTCAAAGTTTGGATCAGATCAGATTTTAGATCGTATTATTATGCCTCAAAATTGCAAACTAATATGTATATTTTCTTTAAAAATTCATGTTTATGCAATTGTGAGAGTACTATGGTGACAATATAGCTAAATCTAGCAATTGTAAAGGTAATAACTTGGAGGAAGATGTAAAGGAAGTACTGATTAACCGAAATTAAATTGTAGTATTTATACATGCCCTAATAATTTCGGATTTCGGATTTCGGATCGGATTAAAATATACCAATCCGAAATCCAAAATTTTAATAAACATAATCTGAAATCCGATCCAATCCGAAATCCGAAATTGAATGAATCGGTTCGGATTTCGGATATCCGATCCGAATGAACAACCCTAATATAATCTGTCGTACCGAATTTAATTGAATCCAGTATTTCTAACACAATACATAAATTTATGTATAAAAAATTACTAAATCCTACGAGAGTTCGCAATAAACATGCAATACCAGCTAACACTAACCAACTTATGAAGGTGTGGCTTTTAAATTTTTTACAAGTTTTAAATATGGAATTACATATCAAATATTGGAAGAAAACTAACCACTTACGGACGTATCAATCCCTTCTAAATTCATATAGTTGAATTTATTTTGGTCATTTCAATATTTAACACGAATTCTCTTAAAATTTGAAATTTTAGCGCATAATTATATTTGTGTGGTTATATTCAGTTGATAAATCAAGTTAAATTATTCGAATATTTTCATATTTTCTCTTTTTAAATTCTCAACTCTCTTATGATTTTAAATAACAATAACAAACCTAGTAGTTTTTCTACAAGAGTAATAATTTTTCACTGACCTGAATTGTAATTCAAGGAAGTGGAGATTTGATCCTGGTGTTCCGTCAGTCGGAAATCGGCGGCGGACGGCAGCATTCCCGTCGGTCCGACGGAGTAGATGAGCCGATTGCTGGGCATTTCAGTATTCAACTGAAAAGCCATATAAATTCTGGAATCCTCTGCTACGACGGAGGATGTAAAGTTGACTAGCTGGAGGTTTCCCTCATCAGGTAAAACCTGCTCGGAAAATTTTATTTTCTTATTAAAATTTACTATTAATAGATAAAAGTAACATGGACAAATTCAGGATCTAAAATTAATAAATGATCTTATTGCATGTATATATTCTAAAATTTTGGAACGCTTAAAATTATCTCTCTACTATATGAAACACTCATCTTAATCATACCATCCATTATATTTTAGGTCATTCATATTATAGTAATTAGCAAATCGTCTTATATTTACCTTTGACTTTAGCAGAGCTTCAGCATGTACTTTGTGAATTCTACGTATCAAAATTTAAAATACTTCAGGAAAAAAAATTCAATTTTACATCTCTGCTTTTGATTATGGTTTGAACTTACCCTATATTATAGTTCCAATTGGAATTCCATTATGATCGAGGACAAATAGGAGACGATTTACTATGAATAATCATGAAGTATAATATAATATGAATGAGATTTTGAATTACTATAGCTGACGCATATGTTTGATGTTTCACCCTTTTCCCTTGCATAAGCAATCTTTATTTTTTTTGCATATGTATGCATTGTTTGAATCGAAATTAATTGAACTCACAAAACTCGTCCTAAATCTGTCTATTAATAAAAATAATTAAACAAGGATGAGTGAGATAGGACATTAACCTCATCTGGCGATTGTCCGCCGAGGAAATACTTCTTCATAGTGGCAGTTCCGTCATTACTAACCCACCCAACAACTGCAGTGGAGCCAACCATTTTGCCATTTTTGGAAAATCCCATGGCTATGTATGCATTTGTGTTTGGTGCTGAGAGAACAAAGCTCCATACATTTGTATCTGTTCTCATATACTTCAAAAAATAAAAAATAAAAGAGATTAATGTTAATGTAATTGAAGGAATAAAGAACAAAGAGATTAAGGAAAATGCAAGGAGAAGGGCAAAGGGCACAAAGTATTCCGTGTTCACGTAGGTCCGAGGAAAGGTCATACCCCAAGAGGGTATGATCCAGGCAACCTACTCTGATGCTTGCATCAATGGCTGATTCCACGACTCGAACTTGTTACCTATAAGTCACACGGAGACAACTAGACCGTTGCTCCTAGATTCCTTCAAAATGCAAGGAGAAGGGAATTTAAAGTAATTACTCTGAGGATGTAGCCTTGTTGATCCCATACTGAAAGACAATGGAAAGAAGTTGTATCGAAAAGAAGTTCGCCTTTGAGGTTGAGATTGGAGTTGCATGAATCTGTGCTGCCTTGAGAATTTACTGTCAAAATTTGGAAACTGAATATTTGGAATATCAAGAAAATGGAGAAGTAGAAGAAGGCAGAGAATTTGAAAGATGTCTTCATCTTTCAATATTTTTGCTCTATTTCTTTGTGGCAAACAATTGAATAGATGGTGAAATGATTGTAAAGGGTGGAAGTAGTAGTGGCCTAGTTGTTCCGTGGTTATTATAATGTGCATGTTGGAGAGAAGTTTTTTGAGTAAAATATTGGGAAACTAAAAACATGGTATGGTTGGTGTCTGTGTTAAAAAAAATAGATGGTCCAAAAATGGAATAAAAAATGGGAATTGTAATTTGTTGATGTCAAAGTGTAAAAATATTTGGACTACTGTATAATGAATCGTCTGAATATCTGGAGAGGAAAAAAAAATCGTCTGAATATCTGAAATAGATACAGATTATATTAGAGATTATAATATTAATTCATTTTTTAGTAACACGTTAAACTTGTCCAAGTTTAAAAGGATTGACTTTGTAATCTGTTTGTAGACATGACCTAACCGGTTCAATATGAAATGACTCGTGGAACTGTTTCATCAAAACGAGTGAAATTCAAAAATAGTTAGATTTATATGTGGTAATTGAAATCGAAATTTAACCACTTTTCATGTAAATATAAATCTGAACGGAAATACTTTTCAAAATTCGGAAAATATTCTAACATAATATACCGGTCAGCATATTATGCTAGAAGTTCATACACAGGTGCTCCAATCTCCAGTACAATATGCTGGAACTTTTCGTGTGTTGGGAGTTCCAGCATAATATGCTAGAAGTTCATACACAGGTGCACCAATCTCCAGTATATTATGCTGGAACTTTCTGTGTTGCAGCAAAATAGTAACTATTTTTAATGACTTTGCAAACGCTGATTATTTTTCAATTACCAGTCGAAAAACTGACTAGCCTGTGCCATTTTCACAACAGGTCAAAATGTATACGAGTTCCAACATACAAAATCAAATTTGGAGTTTGGGAATTATGTAAATTTGAAAGAACTTAAGCAAATAATTTAAAAATAAACAAATTATATAACCATAAAAAAAGGCAAAATACATAAACCGTCCCTTTAAGTTGTCCCCAACGATCAGTTGAACACCTCCACTTGCCAATTAACCAACTAGACCCCCTTACTTACCAGAAGTGTATCTTCTGGACACCTTCATTCAACAGATGCAATCGTTTCTTACGTGGCAAATGAACCAATAAAATGTTAACAAGTGTAACTTAGAATTAAAAATTACAATAAAAAATTAAAAGAAAGAAATCCATTAAGTTAAATAAATAAAAATAAAAAAGCAAAACTCAGAACCACTTTCCATCCAAACAAATCCATCGTCTCTCCTTACAAACCCCTCCCCCTTTTCCGTCCAATTTCCACTTTTCCAAACCACCATCGTTAACCATTCCTTCCCCCACCATTTTCTTTGACATACCCCCCTGTAAGCACGTGATTTTTGCTTCACGGAAATTACTCCAAAAGAAAAAAAAAAGGAAAATCAAAAAATATATGCATGAGTGTTGTTACATATTACCCTCCCCAGACCCCACTTGTGGGATTATAACATGTTGTTGTTGTTGTTGTTGTTGTTGTTGTTGTTGTTGTTGTTGTTGTTGTTGTTGTTGTATTATAGGTGTTAAAATAATATGTGTATAATTTTAATTTTATTTTGATTTATTTAGGAGTTTTGTTAATTTTGTCAATTAAAGTGGAAAGGAAAAGGAAAAAAATGAGAATACTCGGTTTTGGGCTAAGAAATTAAAACAAAAAATAGGCCCAAAACGAGCTGGCCCAATGAGCAAAATGGTCTGTCTCCTTAGAGGTGTCCAAACAACACCGTTTTGTCCCAGTTAAGCTGGGCCGTTGATCTCAAATGGATCAACGGCCAGGATCACACCCCCAGATCCGTTAACATGACCCGGTCCATCCCTCTACCCGGTCTCACCCACCATCACACCCAAACGACGTCGTCCCTCTTTAATGAATAGATCCTGGCCATTGATCTCACTTGATCCAACGGCTAGGATCTAAACCCCTAATTCATATATAAAGCCCAACCCTGTTACCCCGCTCCCTATCCAAACACCCTCCGGCTTTGTCGCACCTCCTTTTTACCGCGCCCGCGGGGTGCGCGGGGAGTTTTCTCCAATTTAAGGACAGTCGAAACGGGATTTATTTAATTATTTCAGAGTCGCCACCTGGGAATTTTAAGGCGTCCCAAGTCACCAATTTTTAATCCCTGAATCGAGGAGAATATGACTCTGTTTATTATTCTGCGAACCAGAAATCCTGAGTAAGGAATTCTGTTAATCCGGAAGAAGGTGTTAGGCATTTCCGAATTCCGTGGTTCTAGCACGGTCGCTCAACTGTTTTTACTATTGGCTTAATTATCTTGACTTTTACTAAATGCGTCCTTATTGCATGATTTTTACTACCGCTTTTATTTATACTGCTTGTGATTAAGGGCCCTTCTTTGAATCGAATCACGCGTACGTATATTCGTGTTATAAATAAAAAAAATGCGGAATTGTGTCACGCGCACGTGTACACGATAATCTTGATAATATATTTATTAAAAAAACAATGATTTTTCGAAATTGTGTCGAATCAAGAATATTCGTCTTTCTTAAATAGTGAACCGCACATCTCGGGTTTTATGAAATAAATTTAATACTTTCCAAAGAAATTTGTTTTTTTTTATTAAATATTCGCTCGAAATTGCGCGTACGCATAATCCGAATTTTTGCTTTTAAAAATATAATCAGGGTGCGCGAACGCATCCCTGATTGCGCAAAATCTTTGTTAATAATATTATGGACTTTCCCCAAATTGTTTATTATATCATGAGAAATATCCATTTAAGATACCCTTGAACTCTTGAAAAGAATTCACAATTTATTAAATATTGTCCGTCGATTATAATTCCCGCGTATAAATTATATTTGTCTAGACTATTCAAATTCAAAGAAAAGAATAAAAATATGATTAACACTATTTTCGGCAAATACAACATTATATATCTACCAAAGAGTGAATTGCATATGAAACAAAAAAAAAATGATTCATAAAGGGAAGAAATATTTTCCAAGAATTTTTCATTATTTTTATTTAGTGCAAATTCTATTTTTTACTTACCATTGATTTAAAATGTTGCAATCTGTGCATGTACATCTCAACTTATTCTCATATACTCGTTTTTAATCTAATAGGCAAAATTATTTTTATTAATTATGCTTATGATTAAATGTAAGATATATATATAATCAAACCGATTGGATTCTCAATTTATGTGAACCCTTGTTACTAACTTTCACATTATAACATTCCTAGGCCATTTGTTATTTTAAGAAGAAGAACAAATCTACCTAATTGACTTAATAAAGTGATATTGCATCCAACATTATTCGCCCTATTTTTGACGTTTGCAAACATAGCGGAGGATACTAATGCAACTTCCGACTATTGATGTTAACCATAATCATTATTACGCCCTATATGAATAAAATGCAACCAATCATCATCTAGCCTTAATCTACAACCAAACAATCGAAATACACTAACCACGCATTTTCTTGATATTCCCAGAATACTTTATACCTGTCTAACAATGTCGTAAGACTTAATTAATAGCCAACTTCATGCCATATTCCCTATCTTAACAATTCAACCGTAACTATGCTTTAATGAAATTCTGGAATAGGTAATATTATTACAACACTTATATGAATTTCAAAAGAGAATGATCAACTGATAATTAACATGTCAAGCATACTTCTATATGAAATAACATGAAACAAAAACTGAAATTTATAATAACAAACTTAGATAAATGGAAAAATAAAACTGCAAATCAAATTTCATTGATTTGTCATGCTGAATCTCTTTCCAACATAGAATTTAGAAGATAAGTACCTGGAAATGAAGGTAGAAGAAGTAAGTTTTCAGCAGTAACAAAAATACTGGCAGAATATCAGTATTTCCACAGATTTGAAGCAATAATAAGACCCGAGAAACCCAGATTCACAAGAGCAAAGATTTTTAAAGAATTTCAGATTTTAAAACCAAATAGTATCAATACACAGACCCGGACAGATTCCAAAA